GAACTATCCCTTTAATCACCAACCATTAAGCGCAAGGAAACCCACATTCATTTCCGGTTAGTTTGATATTTACTTCTAACTTTGTTCAAAGATGTAGAAATATAAATTGAAAGAATTAGCAACAACTAAACATTCAACATTCAAACAGCTAGGTTTAAATGTAGGGTTGTTTCACTAATTCACTAAAGAAGTTCTTAAGATATCGCCTTCAAAAGAATGGGACCTGAAAACATTATACCGCTGGTCACAGGCTGCAGTGGCATAAAAAAGTGTGGTGTGCACAACTGCAACGGGGGTATAATTTATATATGGTGAATAGATATCAGTGATTATCGATTAGTATCTTCTCATTTCTAATGGGAACGTCATTAGTTCTGTGGGTGTTTGGTGACAAACCAAACTCCTAAACTACCACCATCATCCCTAAGGCCCTGCCACTGCAATTGCTAAAAATCTGTGTCTTACTGTAATTATAGTAACATATGAAAAGTTAGTTTGATGCCCCACCATTTCAGGTCATGGTGAAAATTGCAAGTGAATGACAGGATTGTCAGCAGCCCAACCCTTGTATTTTCATAAATAAACAATAAAGAATACAAATCCTGCAAAAGACACTTACCATTGGTGGTACTTTCACAGACGGTTCTGCTGGACATACTGGGGTTGAGGTTCCTTTGTGTTTTGATTTGGACTTGGACACAGTACTTTGTCCAGGGCTCCAGGTCAGCCAGAACCACTCGGTTTTGTTGTATATTGCTAATATGTTTGGCCTGTAGGAAGCAACAGACAAGTAATCATGTGTTGTGTTGTCCACAATGGTCTGAAGTAGCTGGAGCACGACACAGAGACAATAACATTAAAGGAGAGAAATATAGCCGGGCACTCATACTCATGGAACATCATCTTATCCTCCAGAACAGAATATATGTTAAGTATCTGATGGACTTGATGGATCTGAGACAGATATGGAAACAGGATATGACCATGGTAAATATAAACGTAAACAGTATTGTGACAATGCATCATTGCATTGAAAAACTTCTCTTCTGTAGGGGCTCATA